CACCATCTAGCTCAGATGGACCATTTACCGCTTTACCATCTACAGAAGCCCCAATAACATACTCACATCTTCCAATGTAATTATGCATTCACCGTTTGAAAGATGAAATGTATGAGTTTCGGGTCTCCACCGTTCTAGTAAGGCTATAATTAACCTTGAATCGATGTGTGTGGAACCTATTGTAGATACATGATAGAAACCAGGTGAAGGTAAGGGATTATGATTGCATGTGGCTTTAGAGGTTTGTGAGCACGAATTCTCCATTTTGAAATATAAGTATCATCAATCTGTAATAGAAATAAGTAATATAGAAAAATATTCAACATTTCTATGCAACAAAGTTTTATGAATAAAACTAATATTGTAAACTCAAAAATAAATAATATGAATAATATTAAATAAATCAAAAATACTTACAGCATTGATATTTTCTATTGTTCCCCTATGTTGTGTACCATACCAAAACATATTGGCCATAATTGTGAAAATGAAGAACTGATTAAAGACTTATCAAAAGAGAGTAGAGAGTGTATAGTGAATAGAATGTAGTGTGTTTGTGGAAAAATGAGGTGAGAGTGATGGAGTATTTATAGGAAAAAATTGTGAGTGATGATAGTTGGTTGGTAGTTGAATAATTTAATTAATTGTGGTTGGTAGGTAGTAGAGTAATTTAATTAGAGTTGGTAGGTAATAGAGTAATTTAATGAAAGTTGAATAAATATAAATTTGTATACTTATTGAGAATATTGTAAATTACACGGTTTTGTACACAATGATAAAACTTCATCGGCTCATCTACTGAATTTGACATACAATTCAAACCGTGTTTTATTAACACCAATTCGAAAATACTCAAACATGTTAATTGATTTTTCAAGTGAATGAGTTTAGATCTTTCCATAAGTCGTACAACCAAAGGATTAGAAAATGTGTTTTTATAATCAAACATAACAACTTGTGAATTATACGGAATAATGTATACTGAGCAAAGTATCAGAGTCATTTTAATCTGAAAACAAAATCGTTTTATGTTGCATTTATATGCATGGCACGTATGCTATTCACGCCAGCATCCATGTTCTCACGCCATTTGACTTGGCGCCTACCAATGCTTCACGCCATTTGAGTTGGCGCGAGTGTACTATTCACGCCATTTGACTTGGCGCCTACCAATGCTTCACGCCTTTTGAGTTAACGCGAGTGTACCCTGAGCATGTTCACGCCATTTGACTTGGCAACGGCATGCGCACAATAAATCCAACAACATAGTTGTTTGTTTATTAATACATGCATGCAATAAATCCAACATAGGTGTTTGTTTATTAATACCAACATAGTTGTCTCTTATTCAAACAATTGAATATTACTTCAAACACAATGCCACAAAATCATATTTCTTGTCTCTTACATTTCAATGGTAATATTTTTACCGACGATAATATTGGAGTGATCTTTCAAAATACAGATACACATATTTTAAATATTCATCGAAAAAGTGATTTAGTCCACTTGACGGAAAAAATAGAAGAAACTTTACAACAACATGTAACTTCTATTTTTTATCGATTTCCAATAATTAATCCAGTTGATCACAATGTCACATACAACACTGCAAAAATCGAAGACGATGAAGATGTCCGTTCAATTCTTCAATGTCACTCAAGATTTTGCAGTCAACAAACAATGGAGTTGTATATTTGTTTTCAACAACTACCGGAAGTATATCCAATGCAATCATCACAAACTCATGCATATCAACAAAGTCAGGTCTCCCAACAAGAAGAGTCTGTCCAAGCACAACATAATGAGCCAATATTTCCGGAAGAGGAAGTGGGTGATGATACTGACTCTGACAATGTCAGACAAATTAATTTGTTTAGTGGGTCCAGTGACGAGTCAGGTGATGATAACAGACTGGAGGCAGACCTGACTCCTATACTTGATCTATACAACTCACCTTATCACTTAAGAAATGTTTCATTTGAATGTGTGAAACCAATTTCAGTCTTTCAACCCTTAGACGAACGTGAGTCACGTGAAGACTTAAAGGTTGATATGACGTTTGAAAACAAAGAAGCGTGTCTCCATGCAATATCTGAGTATCACATAAAAAATTCTTATACTTTTAAGGTTTGTAAGTCTGATTCGACACGATATTTAATTAAATGTAAAAAGGAGGGATGCAGCTTCACATGTAGAGATTCGTTAAGGGAGGGGTGTGGTAAATGGGTTATTGGCAGAATTGGAGGGCCACACACTTGCATGTCGACTGCTATATCTCAAGATCACCAAAAGTTTACCTCAAAGATGATCGCCCATAACATCAGACCTCTTGTTGACAGTGATGCGGTTATTACCCATATTTGTACGACTTATGGCTACACCGTCTCTTACAAAAAAGGCATGGATTGAAAAGAACAAAGCAATTGAAGATATTTATGGCAATTGGGAGGCCTCTTACAACAACCTTCCGCAGTGGTTGTTAGTCATGCAACAATTTCTCCCAGGTACCGTCATAGATCTTGAAACACTTCCTGTATATTCAAATGAAGGAACACAAATTGGTGGTGCAAGAATTTTCCATCGCCTTTTTTGGGCATTTCAACCTTGTATTAGGGGTTTCGCACATTGTAAACCTATAGTGCAGGTAGATGGTACATGGTTGTATGGAAAATATAGGGGAACATTGCTCCTGGTTGTTGCACAAGATGGGAATGGTAATATTTTCCCAATCGCATATGCATTGGTCGAAGGTGAGACCGGGGCTTGGAGTTTCTTTCTGAAAAATTTGAGACTCCACGTCACACCCCAATCAGACTTATGTTTGATATCTGATCGACATGAGTCCATTAAGAGTGCCTACAATAACCCGGATAATGGCTGGCAGAACCCACCCTCGGTGCATGTGTATTGCATTAGGCACATCGCACAAAACTTCATGCGAGTCATCAAAGACAAAAACCTTCGCAAGAGCGTGGTTAACATGGGTAATTACTCTCTAATTTTTAACATGACATTTCAATATATAATTCTTTTATATTAATGTTTTTAATGCTTTTACGCAGGGTATGCAATTAATGAGTTTACATACGCATATTATCGGGAGGAGATCCGCCAAACAAACACAGAGGCTTTCAATTGGATAGAGAACCTTCCAAGAGAAAAATGGTCGCGAGCTTACGACGGAGGAGCACGATGGGGTCACATGACAACCAACCTTGCTGAATCTTTGAACTCAGTGTTGAAGGAGACCCGAAACCTACCTATTACATCACTTGTAAGATCAACATACTACAAGATGGGAACATTGTGGGGTAAGCGAGGAAAGGATTGGACAAAAAAAATTTCATCGGGAAAGGAATTCACAGATAACTGCAGGAAAGGAATTACATAAGAAGTAGAAAAATCCCACAGTTATAATGTCTTGGCTTTTGACCGTGAAAGTCATTATTTCGTGGTTCAAGAGACGGTTAATAATAGGAATTGTCGGTCACTTACTCATTTCAACGTCAACCTCCAAACACGAACTTCTGACTGGGAGATTTCAAACTTTTCGCAGCGTGTTCTCACATTAACCACGACTATACTACGTTTATTCCTGACTTGTATAGAGTTATAAACGTCTTCAAAGTTTCCTCGGTGTTCCCCAAGAAGATAGTTGGCCTCCATATTTGGGCGATACTCTTTTGTATGATGAAAGGATGTGACGAAACAAAAAAGGTCGCCCGAACAGTACTCGCATTAGAACTGAAATGGACATTGTTGAGAAAATAAAAAGATGATGTGGTATCTGTCAACAACCACACATGCGGAAAAAATGTCTGCATCGCCTCAACAATGCAGGCCCTTCTAACTAATTTTATCCATATATTGTTATTTATAACTACTTTTAATTGTATTTTTTTATTTAGTATTTTGATTGTAATGGTGAAATTTTAATACTTAATAAAAAAAATTTATTATTTAATTATAATTGTTAAATAGTTATTTTAAGTTTATAATTATTTAAGTTTTAAAATTAATATTTTATTAATTAATTTTATAATTAAATAATTTATTAAATTATTTGTAATTAATAATAAAATTAAATAATTAAAATTATTAATATAAATAGAGTAAAAAGAAGAAAACGAGAAGAAAAAAAATTATTCAGACCCTTTCACGTCATTTGAAATGGCGAGAACCCTTGCAGCCCACATTCGCGCCATTTGAAATGGCGAGAACCCTTGCAGCCCACATTCGCGCCATTTGAAATGACGTGAACCCCTGGATGTGACACTTTGAACAATTATTTTCAGAAGGTGACATTCTAAAAAATTGATTTCAAAAACGTGACATTCTATAAAAAAAAAATCTCAGAAGAACATCCACAACCACACGCACCCAAAACATCATGATTTGTTTTATCATCCCACCATAAAATAATCACAATTGAAACCGCACCAACCACAATTCCTATACCCTCAAACAGTATAATAATCAAACAAACTCCAAATATAACCAAAAAAAAACTATTGATAGTAATAACAAGCTATCATTATTGTGCATTGAAATTGATCATAATACCACATCCATATCTCTTAGTACAACATAAAAATTAAAACCTCTAAACATTACATTGTCTTACAAATTTGTAAGTCCTTTCCTAATTTACAAAAACTGCACTCACATTGTCTTACGAATTTCAAAGAAAATTTTACATAAACTGCACTCACATTGTTTGGTTCTGGCTGAGTTTTTCTAGTTTGTAAGTCCTTTCCTAATTTATTTCACCTTCTCTCTGTTTTGCTAAAGTAATGTGTAGGTTATTCAAATCTCATATTATATATGCCATAAAACCATTGGATTTCTCTTATAACAATTGGGTTGGTTTAAGATTATAATCAATTAGGCATTTCAACAAACAAGTGATGTGCACAATCCAAATAAAAAATAAAACAAGTAAAAGATTTAGCTTACGCGTGTATTTGAGACAAGGTTGTCCACAACACTTTTGCTGATCAAGTTTGAGCTTTCAAAGAACTGGCAGTATCCTGCAAAATATTAAAAGCATATAATGAGCTTTTCAATGAACTGACTTCAGCTAATCAAAACAAATCCAAAGCTGTAAGTATACAACACAACCATTACACCTTCATTCTAACAACAACAATATCACTGTCAAACCTTCCAAATTTTCACAAAACACAAATTTTATCACTCATAACCATCAATTCCACAACAAATACAAAATCAAAATCTAAAGGTGGAAAGCAAAAGAAAAAGAAGCAAATCGGAGCAGAGGACCGAAATAGCCGACACCTACGCAAACGAAACACGCTGCTACTGCAGCCGCACGCACGGATGGAAGAAATCTCAGTCCAAAATCCCTATGTTCCTGAACTTCTGATTCAAACAGAACAAATAAGTAAGTGAAAAAGCTCAAAATAAAGAAGAATTCGTATACCTACCTTCGAAGATTCCGACGAAGACTTCAACTCCGGTACGGTCTCAGGTAGTTTCCTCTTTCTGGTGATGAATCTTGGTAAAGAATACGTGAGTTCTGGGCTGACGAATGGAGAAGAGTGTGTTGTTGGGTTCGTTCTTTATTTCTGGTGAAACGGTGGAGAATGATGGATGACGAGGGAGAATCGACGGCACAGGGGTGTATCGATGGCGGACGGTGGTGAATCGATGGTGGGGTTACCGGAACATGACGGCGAGATGAAGAAGAATCAGTCAGTTTTTGCGATGAAGATTACCAAAAAAATGTGCGCCAAAATGAAAACTATCCGCCAAAAAATGTGTTTGGATTTATTAATTATTTTATTAATTATATATTATATAAACAATAACGATTTCATCTAGACGCTAACATAGAAACTTGTTTTGTTTTTTTAATTTTATTAATTATATATTATAAAAACAATAGCGTTTTTCATATAACGACTAACATAAGATAGTTTAATATTAGCATTTAACAAAAATCCTATCATAGTGAATAATAGTATTAGCGTTTTGTCAAAAGTGTTTTATATATATATATATATATATATATATATATATATATATGTTTTTTTTTTCCTTTTTAATAGTACTTTCTTTAAAAATGCTATTAAATTAAGCGATACAAAATATCAATTTTGATGTAGTGAATTCAAGGAAAGGGATTGTAGTGTTGACTTTATGTGCTTATCTTTTGTATAATACATTTGTGAATGATTGCTTTGTGTTTACCCTTTGTGCTTAAAATCTTAATCTTATTTTTTAAACTTTCACCACTTTCAATTAAAATTTTTGACTTTGTCATTGTATTTTCAAACTTTCTTCTTTAATAAATGCTTCAATATATTTAAGCATATTAAAAGTTTTCAAAAGACTAAAAGTAATTTAACCTCACCCAAAATTTTTTTGTCACTTTGGCTTTTCAATTTAAAATTTTCCCAAAGAGTTTAGACAAGAGCCATCTTTATAGTTAAGATGCAATCCCCATATCCCCATGGTATTGATTAAAACAATGCGATTATTTTCCATTTAAGGGATTTTAGTGGCATACTTGTTGATCTTATATTCAAGTTGAAGCTCTTCCCTCTAAGATGACGCAAAGATCCATCTTCTCATACGCATGGATGTTTAGTTGAGTATTTTTCTTAAGATGACAACTTGTCTGTTCTCCTAAAATCAACCACAATAAATCATTTTGTTATTTTTACCACGAACTACGAGATTTTGATCCTTCATTGCTACATAGGTATAAGACTTTTTCTTTCCAAACAAAAATATAATAAAATATATTTCTTCCCCCCGTCTCCACACTCTTTTGCAAACAAACCAATTTTAACCAAAAACAGATATTATAAGAGGTTCCTATAGAATATTATAGATACACAGGATGCTAATACATTCCCTTTGTATAACCCACCCCCTACCTTATATCTCTCTTTGTGCTTTGCATTTAAGTTTTTGCTTCTTACATTACATGATAAATATAGGATTTTGATTTTTTTTCTCTTTTCCTTGGAAACAATAAAGTTCGATGGTGGCTTCTTAATTTTGTGAGCCAAGTTAGTCAACAGCTTGGTCTCCCGATTTTTCACCACGACAAAAATGATGACTTTAATGGGGACTCTATCCTTAAGAGGGTTAAGCCTAACTTGTTTATTTATTTTGTTATTATTATTGTTTGCTTGTATTTATTGGTATTTTCTATTTCTTTGTGGTATTCAGTGATCTTTGCAAGGACAAGTCCTACACTCGGACTGAGTTACACTTAGGATAGGTCGGTGGTATAATCGAGAGTTACATGACTGGAGTAATTCTGAATGTAGTAACATATGATATAACCCCACTCAGTGGAGGCCTCTTTGAGGGTAATAATGTTAAGCAAGACAATTGTAAAGCATTATTACTTTTGACCTGAGAGCCCAAGAAGCTGAGGATCGTAGAATCATTAACCCATATTGGCCTTTAAGATGTAGTGTGATGGGAATTCAAGTGTAAAATTGGATTAGTCGTTACCATATACTACATTCAGACGGGTTTTTCTTGAAAATATTACTGGTACTCATAAGTAGTTATGTAAACCAATAATATCCAAAAGAAGTATCACGACTCTGGGAACTTTTAGAACCTTGTTGTACCTGTGATAAACCCCTAATACATACCTTGTGGTTGTTCTTACCCATGACTCCATACTCGTGATGTTAAAACCTAAAACCATATTTGTAGCCTTGTTTGTGACTGTTGCATTACCATGTATTCATGTATTCATAGAACTCTTTTTCACTTGGTTTTAAAGGAACTCACAGATCCTCATTGTAAACATAATAGGTTTTGTGATCATGAATATCAAAAATAGGAACACTAAGAAGTACAGTTTCAAGAATCTTGAGTTACAAGAGTTAAGAAAGCTAAGGTCTTTAGTGTCCAATCCTGAGGATTTCAGAGGTCGTTACAGAAGGCTCTTAGGTATTATCCAGACTAAGACTCCAGATGGAATTCTTGAAACCCTTGTCCAGTTCTATGATCCTCTTTACCATTGCTTCATGTTTCACGATTATCAGCTCGTTCCTACTTTAGAGGAGTACTCTTTTTGGATTAGGTTGCATGTATCAGATGAATTTCCCTTATGTGGTTTTGATAAGGCTTCTGAACCTCCAGATATTTCTAAATCCCTTCATTTAGAGACATCTGATATCAAAGCAAATCTTACTTTCAGAAAAGATTTCCAAGGTTTGACTTCTAAGTTCTCAATGGAAAAAGCTATTGTCTTAGCCAAAGAAAATAGGGGGGATGCTTTTGAGGCTACTCTAGGCTTACTCATATATGGTCTTGTGCTCTTCCAAATGTTGACCATTTCGTTGATATTAACGTTATCCCGATATCCTTGATTGGCAACCCAATGCCTACTTTGCTTGGAGGCGCTTACCACTCTATTCATCATAAGACTCAGAATGGTTATATAACCATTACATGATGTGCATCCCTATTATACAAGTGGTTTAATTCACACTTGCCGCAATCCAGACTCTTTAGAGACAACCCAGACAAGCTTAGGTGGTCCCAAATTCTTATGTCCATTACGCAGGCGAATTTAACTTGGTATAATCCATCTTATGATATTGGGGTGATCATTGATAGTTGTAGGGAGTTCTCTTATGTATACCTTCTTGGTATACGAGGGTGAATTAGCTACAATCTCGTTCTTGCTAGGTGCCAGTTTGGATATCCTATGAGGAGGGGAATCTGGATTTGATGGAGGAGATTGTGGATGCTTGGCACAAGATTCATAGGAAGGGTAGAGATCAGTTGGGAAAGAAGCATTGCATTGCCTTTGATTCTTTTACTCAGTGGGTCCATGATAGAGCTTGTAAGCTCAAGATGCCTTATTTCCTTGAGAAACCTTCACTACTGGTTGCCACATCATCATCCACCATTCCCATTGAGAACATGGAGGAGTATCATGAAACTTTGGCTAGGATGAGGTTGGAAAGAGATACTTGGGAAGAAAAATACCATATCTCAAAATGTGAAAATATGAATTTGGAAAGACAGCTGAATGATAAGAAGGATGTATTTTTTCTTTAAGATGGTTGGCTTGTTGAGCAGGATGAGAAGCTTCATCAAAAAGGATACAATGCTTATGCAGTACGCTAGGGAAATAAAGATAAAACAGGAAAATATGATAAATGTTACACCCGCTCCCGATGCATGGAAGAAAGTAATTGATCAATTGGTGGCCGAGAAAACTGAAATGGAAGCTTTCTATGAAGAGAAGATCGGGAAGCTCAAGCTACAAGGAGCATTTGGTTTTTCATTATATGAGGATCTTGATACCCATAGAACCTAGCTTTCACCTTTATTTGTTGTTGATGTGAACCTCTTTAGAACTCTTTGTTGTAATATGTTCCCATTATTAATGAAATGAAGTTTTTATCATTCCAAGGCATTTCTACTTCATGATGTTTGAAATGGTTACTAAGCTCCTTGAAAATCAATAAAATCATCACATATCATGCATCATTTTGCATTTTTTTCAAAACTTGTCTTCTCTAGAGTCTCATCCCCTGACATCTTTTCCAATAGATTGACAAACTGAATCACAAGTACAATACTCGGGAAAATTCTTAAAGAAGGATAGAGTTTATAGAGCAAGAAAACAACAAACTTTGTGAAGAGGTAACAACCCTCTGCACTATGATGGATATGCTTACTACCTTGGTCGAAAGTCTGATGGGTGTGCAGAAGCAGCCATCACCTCCACATCCTCCGCAATCAACTCAAGAGCAAGTCACAGTAATCGCTAAAATTGAAACAACACAAGCGCCTGCAGTAACTACTCTTGTTCCATGATACAAGATTCCTAAAGGGTATCCTTGGGGAATGCCTTATAACTTTACACCAGAGTGATACCAACCTACTATGGGAATTCCAATTGTGCAGCTTAGGATATCTGCTCATCATCCTGTGATGACTACTACACCTCCCGTGGTGTATACTGTTTCACTTTTCAATGAACCAGTTTATCATGTCGAACCTTCTAAAGGTGCCATGATTTTTGAAAGGGTGGATGACTTTCAAGACCAATTTCAATAAATGTAGAGGGAACTCAAAGCCCTTAGAGGAAGAGATCTATTTGGGAAGAACACTCATGACTTATGCCCGGTTCTGAATGTGAAGATACCAGTTGTTGTACCCTAAATTTTGCCCCTAACTTTTTCAGTCGCACTTTCATACCATATTTTGTCATTCAATCACAATCATTAATAAATAGCATCATTCATCACATTTGCATCCTATCTTTAAGTTGGCTCTTGTGTTATTGATTAACTTCTAATCAAAATACAAAAAAATATTGGTCTTTGTCTTTTTAAAATTGTGTTTTGTAGGTACCGAGTCGAAGCATCTGACAAATAAGGATTTCTGCCTTCAAAAATCAAAAAAAAAATTTAGTATGTGTCGACACATACATGTTATGTATCGACTCATGCAAGTTGATGGATTCTGTATTGTGTCGAAAGGCAGCTTGTATGGATCCATAAAGGCTTGTGTCAAACTCATACAAATTGATGGATTATGTATTGTGTCGAAAGGCAGCTTGTATTGATCCATAGAGGCTTGTGTCGAACTCATGAAAGTTGATTGATTCTGGATTGTGGCGAAAGACAACATGCATCAACTCATAAAGGTATGTATCGACTCATCCGGTTGTGTAC